GGGGGGTTGGACTGGATGACGTTCAGAGCTCCATTCCAACCCCTACCATGCTGTGATGCTCTGTGTGCATCCTTTTGTAGCTCTCCTTTCTTTTCTTTTTTATTCTTTTTGGGTTTTTAAATTTTTTTTTAATTGAAGGAAGTGTTAGATTTGAGCCTAATTGGTGGATTTATAAATTGTTGCATGTGTGGTCTGCTTGACAGTCTCATGGTGGTCTTGCCACCGAATAAAAAAAGAACTGGCAGAGCTGCAAGCAGCAGCCCCTGTGCTGGTACCTGCCAGGGTGTTCTGCAAAGTGCTGCCACCTGTAGCTGTGGTGCTGAGTGAAGGTACCACGCCGTGGTCCTTGCAACTTCCAGGTCCTTTCTCTGTTTCACTGCAAAGTCCATCTCTTCTTAATCACCTCTTTTCCTAGCAGCTCCACCTGTGGGAGTTTCCAAAGCCTGCTCATCATGTGTAAGAACCGCTGGTGTCAAGGAAGCGTGCACGCAGTGTGACCAGTTTGTCTGCCAGAACTGCAGCAGGTTCTGCAGCAGCTGTAATGCAGTCACCTGTTCTTTGTGCTCCACTATCGAGTAAGTGCCTTTTGAATTTTTTAACCCTATTTTAATTATATATGGCCTGAAAATTGGCTGTAGCATATGAAGACCCAACAAGATATCTAGCTCGTCCACATGATGGACTTGGAACTCTTTTCTTGTTGCTTTAGCAGCAGTAAAACTGTCTGAAATATGGAGAATAAAATGCCAATGTGAAGGAGTCCATCAGTCTTAGTGCAAGTCTTGTTTACCTTCTCATTTGAACGTTCTAGGAGGCAAAAAAATCCTCTTGTTTTCCTGCTAGCAACATAGTGTGCTGGCCAGTGATGAATGAATAAACTCCCAAGGAATAATCTTAAGTTTTTGCCATCGTTGTTAACAGTTTGATGACACAAAGAAAGCTGGAGTGTGCGGTGTGGGAGCCCCGTGGTTACAGGTGATAATGGCATAGGGTGGCATTCTTTCTTACCTTCCAGAAGTAGTGGAAATACTGACTTTGTTTCATTTGGCTTTCTTGTTTTCTTCTTTTCTTCTCTTCCTAGTTATGGTGATGTGGGAGAGCAAGTTCTCTGCAATGATTGCTCAATATTTCAAGTCTGAATCTTGATGAAATGGTTAAGATGTCCATAAATTTCATGAAGTCTCCTCCTCACGGCTGGTCAATTAATCCTTTTAGCATGGCAATTAATTATGGAATCTCTATGTTTTATATCTTTATATTGTACTTTTTAATATTGTAGCTAAATAAACTTTTATATTTTGAGGATTTCTAGGTTATTTCGAGTCAACTTTCTCCTTTTCCCTAGTTGTGATATGCCTATTTGGAAGGGGCCACTTTGTGCTTACCTGGTGTTCCTTATGTGATCCTGAATTCAGAATGTTCATTCCATGCCTCTCCACTTGTTGCTCATGGTAGGGCACACTTTTGTGGGATCAGAATAGAGGTCAGTTGCCCCTTATGTGCCTCCAGGTGAGTGTAAATCTGTTCTGCACACACAACGTTTTCTTTGTGAGCTAACTAGGCAAATCAGCCAGGCCTGAAGGCTTTTCCAAACAGAGGATTTGCTCATTTCTGGTTAAATTGTTTTAAACTGTCACAAACATCTTGTGGTTACTGGTAGCTTTAATGCTTTTAGTTGTTCTTTGTAACTTTGTTATAACTTTGGTAGAAAGAACAACAGTACAGCAGGCTTGGAGCAAAAAAGCTTTTCTCAATAGTGAAGTGTCACAGACTGATTGCCCTGTCTTGTGAGGCTGTCTTTATTTGGCGTGCTGTTGAAAGCATACCTGGGTATTTTTACATTTCAGAATACTGTAAGCATACAGAACAGTGAAGCTTTAGCAAAGGGTGAAGTGATGGCTGATGCTGAATAGCAATGCTTCATAGCTGCACCTTTGCATGGCTTTGGATGTATCAGTCGCAGTGAGGTGCAAGATGAGATTCATTCCACCCCCAGTATCACACCTTGTGTAACTGCAGAGACACTTGGAAAGCATTTGTGCCCTTTAAAGTGTCCATGGGGGGTCACTTCACTACTGTGCTGCCGTAGTCTGGGCGGTGACTCTCATGTTTCCCTGTTCTGCTTTGTAGCTGCTTACAACAGGGGAGTTCACAACTTCTTCCTCCAGTCCTGACTTTGAGCAACTGTAACATGTAACTTGTCCCCACCTCCAAAGCAAACAAACAAATGTCAGGTGAGGTGGTAGTAAAAGTGTTGGGCAGTGTGCAGTAATTCCACAGTGTTCTCTGTCTTTTCAAAACTGTAATGGGTGAAGTTGGGATCTCTCACGCAGTTCCCCGCTGTCAGGCATCGTAGCGCAGATCAAAAAAGTTGTTCCTGTGTTAATCACCTTAAAACACAAAGCTGAGTTTTATAAATGGGAAGAATCTGTGGGTTACTGCCTTTAAATGTTAGCTTTAGGAAAGAATTTTTAAACTTGGTTTCATTTGAAGCTCCAAGCAATGAACAAAAATGTCTCTCAGTCAAAGCATATTTTTCAGACTGAAACCTTTTAAGTATTTATCTGCTTTTCCTCATTCTCTCCTGCGGGTGAGAGACTGAAAATACTGTTTTATTTGTAGGCTTCTGGAGAGATGAGACCTGTTGTTTACAAATGATATTTGTTTCAAAGTAGTTGGTAGTTACTGGGTTGTTTTGGCTCATTTAGTCACTGCTGTATTTCATAGCGAGCGGTGCTCTGTAAGCAATGACACGTATTTCAGGGCTTAAAGTTCTTACTCATTACTCTCTAGCCTGCCCCTTGGAAGGTGGCTGTTCATTAGGGTGGGTTCCTGATGCAGAGCAAAGGGCTGGAAGAGAGCGGGTAGAGGCTGGGAGGAGCACAGGACAGTGCGGTGAAGTAAGTCTCAAAGAGCACAGTTTTATGTCTTTAAATGAAGTCAGCTGATCTGATCAGGGTAAAACAACTTCCTGTGAGTAAATACTAGAAATGTATGGGTTCAGAGGTAGCAGATGTTCCTTTAAGGACAAGCAGAGGTGGTAAATGACTTCAGTAGGCTCCAGTATCTACAATCTGCGTTAGAACAAAACCACACAATGTTAGGAACAGCTTCAGTAAAAAGATCAAACGCCACCTGAATTATCTTCTTCAATAGCATTTATCCATTGCACACATCCCTCACAGCAGCGCTGTGATCTCCGTGGGTAGGTCAGATGTGGTGGTTACACAACCAACCACCAGTTATTTGAGTAATGTGCAGTGAGTAATTGGTGTGTGTTTTGTAGCTGAGGTTAGCAGCCTGTTTGCTTTCCAGGAAAAAAGCCCATTCCATAGATAATTTTGACACCCCAAAGAAATTTTAAAAAACCTTAGCTCAGGACACAGATCTAACCCGTGCCATCGTGTGAGTGGTACCTCTTTTGTTTAATACAGCCAGCACCTAAGCCTCTTGCCCTCCTCTCGTTTTAGCATCCTACCCATTTTTGGACCCTGACTTGTAGCCAGTTCATAGCCTCTTTTTTCCTCTCCTTTCTGGACAGCTGTATTGTATCTCAGGACAGGGTACAAAACCCAAATTATTTAGGTGTATGTGAAAGGTAATGTATTTTTTTTTCTTTATGAATACAGTCAAGACATTTATGCTTTGCTTCTGTGCTGGGTTTGCTACCATCAGGTGTGTGACACTAAAAAATGACAGGAATCTACAAATGGTGTCAATCTTCTGAATCTTTTCTGAAGAGGTGCAGCCAAGAGGTAGAAATGTGAACGATGTCTTTGTCCCTAGGTGTGTCAGGTCTGATTCTTTTGAAAATCCACAACTGTCCTCTGGGTGAATTGGTTAGACCACAGCAAATGCCAGCGCTGTGCAAATAACACCGCTCTCTTTCAGCATGCAGGACCCTACTAGCAGTTGCATGGTGGTTTTGCATTTTTAACAAGATCAGACTGGATTAAAAAATTGAATCCTAGCAAAAGTTAACTGATATTAAGCTCCCATGTATGCTGTATGTGTACAAACTTATATATACTGGGCCCCTCACTATAAGAAGTATGTTGAGATTCTGGAGCATGTTCAGAGCAGAGCCACAAGGATGGGGAGGGCTCTGGAGAACAAGCCTGATGAGGAGCGGCTGAGGGAACTGGGCTTGTTTAGCCTGGAGAAGAGAAGGCTGAGGGGAGACCTCATCACCACCTACAACTGCCTCAAGGGAGGTTGTAGAGAGGTGGGTGCTGGTCTCTTCTCCCAGGTGATGGGGGATAGAACAAGGGGAAACGGCACCAAGCTGTGCCAAGGGAGGTTCAGGTCAGAGATAAGGAGGAAGTTCTTTACTGAGAGGGTCGTCAGAAGCTGGACCAGGCTGCCCAGGGAGGTGGTGGAGTCACCATCCCTGGATGTGTTTAAAGAGCGGGTAGATGAGGTACTTAAGGATATGGTTTAGGGGGTAGACAGGAGTGGTTGGACGTGATGATCTCAGAGGGCTTTTCCAACCGAGCCATTCTGTGATTCTGTGATTCTGTGATACTGCTCCCTTGGAACTCGTGGTTAGCTGTAAAACCGTTTTATCGAGGCACATGATGGAACCATTAGCTGTTTGTGCTGACTTTATCTTCCAGTAGTGCTGGCTACCAAGGCATGAAGTCCTGAGTGCCTGAGAGACCTCCAGGAAGAGCAGAGCGTGGCTGTTTATCTCCAGAGTTTATTCTGTGTATGTCAAGCCTCTCCTCTGTTCCAGGCAGTGGTTTTACCATCGGTTGTCAGGCCAAGCTTGGATCCCAAGCTATTGTAGAAACGTGTGGGGTTGTCCAAGCAGGGAGAGGAAATCTTCAAGCTATCCCACAGAAGCACTCTACCGATGGGCAGAACAGAACTGCTACAGCAGCACAAAGGTTGTCTTGCCAAAATCTGTCATATAACGGATATTACAGCTTTGCAAACGTGAAATGAGAGGGTTGGCTCTTCCAGGAGAGCAGCTTTTTCCAGCAGGCTTTTGCATCAGGACAGGTACAGCTAAAAAAGACCACATCTGCCCTGATACTGAGTTTCCTTGCGCTGTTTCTGCCACTCTCTTTGGGGTTTTTTGTTATTGAATCTTACAGGGGAAGGCAGCAAAACTTGGGATGTTGTGTTTTGTTTCTATTGAAAGAAATTGGTTAACCCATGGAAAGTAGCTAAGACACTTCAGAAAGTGGGGAGTGCTCCTTTAAAAAACAAGCAGGAGCTGTGTAATTGAAAGGCCAACACTTCTTGTGGTTAGAAAATGGGAAGAAAATTATTCTAAATCTTTCTATTTTGCATTAATGGCATTGCAATAGAGTGAAAATGATCAGACACTGTGTGTTTTACCATATTTCAGTGACTCACAGCTTTATACATAACTCTTCTGTCTTTTGTAGAGATACTTTATTTCTCAAGATATTGAAATATTGTACTTTTCATAGTTGAGAGCATTTTGAACTGCTACTATTGGAATACAAGTTTTAATGGTATTTGCTGGTGATGTTTTGTTGTGATTTTGTTGTTTCTTTAAGGAAGAGTCTCGGTCTCAGCTGGGATCAAATTATTACAGCTTATGGTTTTATTACAACGTTTGAGTTCTCGTGGTTGTGATTTACGTTAAAACCTGCCCATGGATGTGATATTACTTCTCTCTTGCAGAGGTTACTATTGTTTAAACGTGTTGTGGTTGTAGGGTTTACTTTATGCTCTGGGATTTGTTTAGTTGTATTTTCTTACATGGTTTTACTCAGATGGAAGAGTTGAACTCATGATCCCTTTCTCATTTGTTCTCTTGTCGCTTCCTGCGTAAGATCCGGATGTTGTTCTGTTTCATCTTTCCCTGACAAACACAGGTCAGTCATGGGGCCACTTGTCCACTTGATAACCTGCATGGCCACGACAGAGTCAGCAGTTTCACCAGGTACTGCCTCGATCTGCTCTACATTCGTGTGCCCTTAAACTTGCACTGAAGTTTGCAAAATTGCCAGCGCCTCCCTGTGCAGAAACCCCCTTTAATCTGAGGAGAGACTTCAGATGAAAACATAAACCCTGCATCCTACCTGAGCAGTTCCAGTTTCATGTTGCAGCCACAGGGTGGCATCACTCTCACACAATCCTAGAACGTCAGGGATTGGAAGGGACCTCCAAAGCTCATCCAGTCCAATCCCCCTGCCGGAGCAGGAACACCCAGATGAGGTTACACAGGAAGGCGTCCAGGCGGGTTTTGAATGTCTGCAGAGAAGGAGACTCCACAACCTCTCTGGGCAGCCTGGGCCAGGGCTCTGTCACCCTCACTGAGAAGAA